AGTGGATATAATAGATGCTTCGTATTCATATCTGTAATGGCGACTACTCATCGTAGGTCGAGTAACCATTTTCTACATATCTCATTCGCTTCAATAGTCTAAAGTAGCCACAACTTGATCAATATTTTGACATTCCACTCATATCCATCACACTTAGCTAAAAACAGTTTTAGTATAATTCAAAGGGTAGCTAAGGGTTCTTATATGAATATATGTACATACTTATAATCAGCTTTACAAACCTTCTTAAAGCTGTCAGGGCTGTCACTCAAACTCGAGAAACAGAGTGATCACAACAACTGCGCCTCGGATAAAGCATTCCTTGACAGCACTAATACAGCGCATATACCTGAATGTACCTATATATGAGTGAATCTGTACTCCCATGTAAGTAAGCTTAGGCTTGAATGATAAGCTTTTCAAAATAACCGCCGCAATTAGCAAAAGCGTTAAGTATGTACATATTTAAATGGCATACAAATTATGTGGGCGAATTGCCAAAGATGGTGAATCATGTGTAAATATGACAGGGCTTGGGCAAAAATTAATATACCAACATGCCCGAATGCCAGTATTCATATGTGTACTTGTATGCTTGAAGTCTATTTTTACTTAGTTTGCGCTTAATTGAGTCTTAAGAGCCTACAGCTTCATAACTGACTACGATCCCATCATCTATCATCCTCTGTAAATGTTGCTGCGAAGGTTTACTCATACCGCTGACGGCTTACTTTCATATTATTATAGCTATTTGTATGTATGTATTAATATTTACTATTAAGGCAAATACAAATACACACTAATTACTGGCAGCTTACCAAGCAAATAAAGTTATACATAGATCAAGTTATTATACTACCTGACGGGACACACCCCAAGAAATGCGGTGGAGACCCTTCGCTTTATCTAGATACTAGTGTAAGCGTTGGAAGGTGGATTACTGCTGGGGAATCCACCAGCAATGTCAGCGCATACATATGTCAATGTCAAATTTCTCTCGTTTTTGCGACGTGAAGCATTACAGTTGTATACTTATAATACATTTTTGTTGTTTTGAATCTTCTTTTCAATTTTTATACCCTAAACAGTAGAGCGGGCTAAAAATCGCTGGCTCAAAACAAGTTTTAGACCCATATTCTCTTAGACATAGTTGTTCAGAATGATCCGTAGATCATTTCTCGCATACACGGCTTTAGAGAAAACAACTAAGTAAGGGCTAATTTTGAGTGCAACCGAATACTTTATACTCTTGCAACTAGCAATAATCAAAGCCAGGGAAATACCTTAAGATGCAAAACATGAACTGGAGGATATTCGACAAAAGGTTTGTTAGGAAAACGAATATCTTTATGCATACAAGATTTTTAAAGAAATTAATAATATCTATTCTCAAAGAAGGCGGTGTGCGCCGGGGCATTGTCGTGGTGCAATTTCCAATCGGCTGCGATGTCTTGTCGGACCTTGCACGTGTTCAAGTGCTCCGTTGCAATGTTATGAACCACAGATCTTGATAAATTCAATATCTGGACAATTAATGAGTTCAAAACTCTGCGCACTCGAGTCACATTGTCGGTGTTTGTCGAAGTCGCACATTTCCCAGCACGGTCTTCATCATCGACCTCTTCCCGGCTTTCCAAAAAGGCTTGGTGCCATCGAAACACACCACTTCTTGCTAAAGCAACATCTGGATAAGTCTGCTTGATCATACCAAACGTCTCTGTCGCAAATTTACCGAGTTTCACACAGAATTTAATAGCGTACGTCTGCTCTAACGAACGCTGCATTTTCGGCTTGTACCACTCACAAAAACACGTCGCGCGAAAATGTTTGTCCTGACTCGCCAAGTGTTCGGAGACAACTTACCAGCCGCTCGTTCGTTACGAAGTACTGTCGCGGCGGAAGAAAATCAATCCTAAACTTTTTCATTTGACGTGTTTCCTTCAACAATTTCGCAGGGATTATTATCCAAGGTATGCTAAAATTTATAAAGGAAATTGTTAAGATTAGACTACTCTGGGATATATGTAGATATATCTGCATGAAATTTGGCATGGAATCTTGTTCAAGGCAGCGGTGCAATCTCCGAACATTTTATTCAGATCGGAACGGTATTAGCTTAACAAAATCCAGCTTTTGTTCGAAATTTTTTATTTCTGAAGGGTATTATATGTATCGGAACAACCGAAGTTAATGTATTTTTCTTTTTTAATTTTTTCATCACATTTCTACTTTTTTACCATATGAAAACAATATTTCTTCATACTCCCCTACTTTCTTATTTGTTGCTGGATTTTCTTGTGAATTGCTAATGGGTTAATGTCTGTTAGCAATGCGATCGGGAATGCGAATGCGAATGGGAACAAAGCGAATGCGTAGGCGAACTTGACTCAAAACAAATCAACGCTCACGAACACGCAAGCAAATCCAGAAAAAATACATAAGTTGTTTACATTCGAACATACGAACTCACTTACATATGCCTGTACATATGTTTTTCACTACCAATGACTTACATTTGAGAGCGCGAACATTCAACCAAAAAAGTTATTATATTCAGCACTTAAAGTTAGAGACTCTCACCTTCTGTTGCTGTTGATCTTAATGCCTGTGTATTTACAAATATACATATCTACATCCAAACGATAGGCTAAAAAGGCAGTTGAGTATGCGCGCGTTGCCTATGCACATAACTTTGTTCTTGTACCGCTGATTTTCCACACTGATAAAAATCTGAGAATTCAACACTATACTTTGATGTAAAAATTTATGCATTTGCATATAAGGGGTGTGACAATATGTAAATTGAGGGCCGGTTAGTTACGCTGCTTTAAAGTTGATAAACTTAGTGGTCGCATTACATATACATGTAGAGCCCTTTTTTTCGTACGGATCACTTGGGCGTAATACCACTGTAGACAATTGATCTTCAGCTTGAAGAAGCAGATGGTTTATTAATTCTGCTGGCAAAATTTTCCCTCGTATATCTCGTTCATTCCAGCGACTGCAGTATACGTCATTGTCAATGTGCAAAGGAACATAAATCTTCCGCAAAACTTTAATTTCGAAAAATTGTAACACCGACTCATCAAATGTTGTCTTCGTCCCTGCCTCTGCACCATATTGCAGGACGGGAAAAATGAATCACTTATTTTGTCTTTATTTGTCAAGAGAAGACTTTACTTCTCAATTGCCTACTTAGTCCGGAGTAGCGCCTGTTGGTCCGAGCTTTCCTGCATTGAATTTCGAGGCTGAAATTGTTCTGGATGTTAATGCTGGTCTCGTGATAGACGAAATTATCTACGACTTCGAAGTTATGACTGTGAATGGTGACTTGGGAGCCAAGTCACGAATGCGACGACTGTTGGTTGGATGACAGACCCTCGATCACTAGCAGACCCATTTGCTTTGCTTCTTTGTCCAACCTGAAGATAGCAGAGCTAGCGGAGAGATCTGTAAAATATCACTTGTAAGATAAGATGGTTTCAGGAATACCTCGTTTAGTAAATCAGTAAGGTCCACGAAATAGTGGTTTCAACATAAATCAATAACCACAAAAGTTGAAAATCTCTTGTCAATGATTATAATGCTGAAATTGCCGCTTGATATCTTATCTTATGTGAAACCTGTGGCACTGTGTTTTTTTATAAAAACCATTCAAAATACTCCCAACTGAAGTTAACACATTTTTCTCACAATTTCTGGAGAATGTCAGAATTCCCCAAAATTTCTCAGCCGATATTTTCCAAATAGTTTTAAGCGATATTGCAACCTGACTCAAAGCGTTGTCATACTGGAAATTTATTTCCTCGTGTTTGGTTGAACATTTTGGACGATTTTTGTCAATATCCCGTTGTATTTTGATGAGTTGTAGCGTTTCTCCTTAATAGTTTCATGAAATAGTACCTTGGCATTTTAGAAGCATTACCTCGACATCATGGAATATTCGGCTATGCCGAAGATTTGGCTGGTTTGCACGGTTTCACATAAGATTTTTTGAATTGAGGGTTATCGTAATATACCAATTTTTCATCACTAGTTACAATTTGCTGCAAAATCGGCTTCAAACATGGATAAATATTGGTATATTTTTTATCAATCACATCCAGTAGAGCATTAAATTTATAAAACTCTAATTCTGTTTTTGCGAATTTATTGGAACATGGAAAGTTGAAGAAGCCCGAGATCAGAGTATAGTAAAGAATAAACCGATATTCAAAAATTTAGTATCATTTAAATTTTCTTCAATAATGAAGTGATCTTGAACCATTCCTGAACAAGTAACCTTTTAGTAAATTCATTAACTAAGTAGTTTTCGAAATCAAAAAACACTCATTGCCACACCCTTTATTTGGATTGATACGAATACGTGTATGAATAAATAAATGTTAAAGCGTGTAGTGATGATCGCTGGTTTATTGCCGCTGTGATAACTGATCATTTGGTAGCTCTTTGAATCGCTCGCGCCTATCAATTCACTCTGCCGCTCACATTCTCCGACTCGTTCGCTCTGCTTTTCACTGCATCTCGGTTATCGTGTTTCTTTATCACTGTCACTTACAACAATGTAATTGTAAATATCAGCGATGACTTGTTGTTGTTGTTGTAACCAAGCCTAACCTAACAATGTTCACTTGCTCCGGCCGTTGATTTAGTATCACCGCAGGGTGATTATCCATACAAAAACTCCTTGGTTGCGTAAACATTTTAATAACCTTTTCTTGTAATTGTAATTTGTCTGTTGGGCAAACAAATCATCGTCATCAGCAGTGTGCCTTTTTCGGCACACTCAACACACATGCATACACGTACTCACGCACACAATAGCAGTTGAAGTGCGCCCTTTGCTGTTTGATTTGGTTGAGTACGCCACTTAAGGCTTAGGACGCTTTGATAAATAGATTTTCAAGGTCCATGAATTACATAACTGCGGCATGAATTGTCTTGTGGTTTGGTGAATAAATAATTGCTGAGTTTATTTGTTTTTGTTCTTTCTTTTACAGTGGCGTTCAGTGCCGTGACACGCTGAACGGGCCCCAATGCGACGCTTGCCCACTTGGCTATGACGGCGACGGACGTTCGTGCACAATACGCTCAGGTCAGTGCAAAGAATGTTTACTTAAATAGTTTAGTTGAAGTATATGTTTTTTTTTTTTTTAAATACAGTTACTACTTAAATTTGTATACGAGTCTAGTAAGAAGAAATATATTATTTTTCAAAATGTGGCTTTAATATTAATATGATAAAAGGTTACAGAAGGATCCCTTGCCGTTCCCGTAATTTTCAATTAAAATTTCATCACACAAGATAAGGTCAATTAACGACAAACTCGATCTAAATCTTACCGTTCCCAACAGTGTTAGGAAATAACAGACCTTAGGCGAATAAAAGTCGGGTTAATTCCGGTAACGTAGCACCGGCCAATGTAGAATGAGTCTTCACGTGACGCCAACCACTTCTTTGCATGCCCAATGAATCGCACTCATCCCGCACCCCTCTCCTTCTAACCCGACTCCGTCGAAATAGTACGTTTTCTGGACCCACCTTCAGATAGCTATAAGTCTCTGCATGTTTCCAACCACCTCTCTGCATGCTGCTGAATCGCCACAAAAACTGACACAACTATTTCTGAAGGCGATGATTATTGGTGAGGGTCACCTACGCCTACGTCCAGTAAAAACAGTGAACCGGCGGAAGCGGTATTCAAGCCAGTATTGAACATCATAAATATTATTTCTATGAGAAGCAGATTTGGCCAAAAGGAGAGGAATTTTCTTTCATGTCGACAACGCCAGGCCGCACACATCGATAGTGACTCATCAGAAGCTCCGGTAGCTTGGTTGGGAGGATCTTATGCATCCACGCGTAAGCAATAATGGGACATCTTGAGACTCCGCATTCATTACTGGATAATATTTGACCAAATACACCACGGCGTGATGGTCGTGAAGAAAAAACATAAGTAGCAACCGTAACTGAGAGTGTATACGAAGACAGAGTTGATTCGGCTCCGTTCGACTCAACTCGAACTGATGTGTGGAGCGACTTGACATTTGACAACGAGATCTTAAGCTGAAATCATACAAAATACAGCTTGTGAAAGAACTGAAGCCGCTCGACCTTACCAAACGACATGGCTTTGCTCTATGAGCTGTTGAAAAGTTCCAAGAAGATCCGACGGTTTCAACCCAAATTTTATTCAGCGATGAGGTCCATTTCTGGCTGAGCGGGTTTGTAAACAAGCAAAATTGGTGCACAAAAAGTAACCTGAAGATATTCTAGAGTAGCCATTTTATTCAGAGAAAACAACGCTTTGGTTTGGTTCGTGGGTCGGTGAAATGATCGGTTCATATTTCATCAAAAATGATGCTGCTGAGAACATAACCGTCAATGGCGACCGTTATCGCGCCATGATAACCTACTATTTGATGCCTGAAATTGAAGCCCGTGAACAAGACGGCGCTACTTGCCACACATCTCATCAATCAATGAATTTATTGAGAGAACACTTCGGTGAGAAGATAATTTCACACTTTTGACCCGTTGATTGGTCACCAAGATCGTTTGATATCACACCGTTGGACTATTTCTTGTGAGGATATGTAAAGTTTAGAGTCTATGCGAACAATTCAGTTTTATTTCAGACCTTGGAGCAAAACATCACGTGTGTCATTCGCCAGTTAACAGTCGAAATTCTCGAACGAGTCACTGAAAATTGGACTCAACGGATTTCCCATCTGTGACGTAGTCGCAGTCAACATTTGAAAGAGATAATCTTCAAAAAATAAATGAAGTTTTTGTGAATCACCCTCTACAATAATAATGGATTTATTTTTACTGCACCCATATTTAACAATGATATTATATACATATATTTTATTACTTTCTAATGTTGGATTTTTATTCCAGCCAACATCTTAGTGCCCTCTCATAATGTTCAGCACTATCAACGCCAATACACCGCACGCAAATACTCCGTTATCAGCTCGTGAAGCGGCCTCTAATCCAACCCGAATTCAGCACGAAGCAACGCAAACGTATGCATCGTATCATGTGTGCCTTAATTTTAGTCAATTGTGTTTAATAATTGCAATATAACTTGCCTTAACATAAAATATTTATATTTTTGTTCAAGTATTATCGAATCCAAAAAGCGAAAAATTATAAATACACAAATATGATTTACACATAATTTTGTTTAATACTTAATTCTGAAAAAGTTCTAACCCATTAATGAAATTGTAATAACTGTAAAGAGAAGTTTGAATAAAGTAGAGTTTAATATTAAAAAACCCTTAGAAAGAATGTATATGTAAGTTTGAAATGAACATTTTACTTTTTCTTCCAGTAACTTTACAATACTATTAAATATCTTTTTATCTGCTAGTACGGCTGCAAAGCAAATAAAGCTGGGTAAGGTGACGTGGAGCAACACTAAAAGCTCCGTAAAGATCGTTAAAGACCTTGCCGAGCTGTTCGATACCAAGCGAAGAACAGTGAAGTTATGGTACAAGTATAAATTAAGTTAGATATTGATATCATCTTCGTCTTCCATATCTTCTGAATGGAAAAGAAAGCGAAGAAAATTAGTTACTACTAGACCGGGGACCGAGTAGGCAATTGAGAAGTAAAGTTACCTATCGATGAAAAAATACCAACTCTATAAGTCAGTCATTATTCCCGTCCTACTATATGGTTCAAAACATGGACGAGTTTTCAAGAAAAACGGTTATGAACTGTACTAGAGTATTCGATGCAGTACCCGCCGCAGGGAAGCAGAGGAAGAGAAAGACCTTCACATCTTTGGAATGATCAGGTTGAGAAGTACCTGGCTACACTTAGAATCTTCAATTGGTGCAAAACAGCAAAAAGGTAGAACGACTGGCACGCTGTTGTAAACTAGACTATAACAGCGGAAGCAGTGTCTATGCCAATAAAGACGAAGAAAGAAATGCTAATTTGGTAAACAGAACACTAAGTTAACAATTTTAATTGATGAAAAGGTGTAAATAAAATTCTGGTACAAGTATAAATTAAACAAATAATCGTAAATTGGAGCTCCTTAAGCTCACTGAGCTGAGCTTACATACTTACATTGCATGTATTTAACCAAATCCCCATTATATTTTGCATAAGTGTGGAAAGCTCTGCTTAGACTGCTTAGAGTCATATAACTATAGAGGAGAATTTTGTTATAACAACTTATAATTGAAAATGTTGCAGAAGTGTTTTGGGGAGTCTACGAAGTTAATAATTTGAATGACACATGCATTCAGTTAAGGTAGTGAAATCGTGAATAACTAGGCGAATGCATGTCGTCCATCGACCTATTAATGGAGACGACATTAAAGGATTAAATTATGTTATCATAAGAGCGATAATGGAGGATCAATTTTGAATGCAAGCCTAAGCTTAATTTTAGTCTTTGTATTGATACCATAGTCTTGAAAGCAAAAGGTATTCTCAGTTTTATTAAGCGTTGGTTTAAAAAATTTAGAAATTCATATGTTACTAAACTTTACTATTTTACCTTATTTTTTATAACTTTAGTTAGAGCTATATTCAAATATGACGCTATTGTATGGAATCCTAGTTACCAAGTCAATTCTGAAAAGTTAGAGTGGTACAATAACGTTAACAACCAGCATCAAGACCAACAATCATAACAGCCCCGAAATCTAACGCAGAATCACTCTTGTCAACAGGTGCTACTTTGGACTGAGTAGATAATTGAAGAGTAAAGACCTATCTCGATGAGCAAAAACCAAACTCTACATGTCTCTCACTATTCCCGTTCTGCTATATGGTACATCATCTGTCGAATTGACTTTAGGAGTGTTCGAGAGAAAGATTTTGCGGAATTGGGAATGGTGAGCACCGCAGTCGATGGATCGATGAGCTATACGAGATATACGACGACATTGACATAGTTCAGCGAATTAAGACTACACTTGGTATCTCCAATTGATGTCAAACAGCAAAAAGGAGGAACGACTGGTGCTCTGTTGTAAACTCGGTTATAGTCGCGTGAGCGGTGTCTACGCCAATGAAGAAGAAGTCTAATTATAGTAAATTAAAAAACTCTTAATTTTTTTACTTCAGCTTCAAATAAAACAATATTATTTAGAACTAATCAATTAATTAATTTATAATTTTATTATTATTGATGACACTATGCACTATCTACGCAACTAATGCAAATTTTAATACATTAGAGTATATAGCTTTTTTTTTGCAATTTTCTATGATTTAAATGATCATCAAATTATCAAATATTGAATTTTTAAATATTTTTTTATGTGTATACGTATACATTTCAATAAATTTAATTATTTTTCATGCGCTTATCCCGACGTATGCATGCGCGTTATTGTCATAAATCGATCTTATGCTATTAAGTATTTACAAGTTCTTAATACGAACACTCAAGATTTAGATTTTAGTTTGCGAAATAATAACAACTGTGAATTACACGTAATATTTGAATATTTAATAATTGTTTCCTAATTTTTGAAACTGTTGTTGTAAATCTGTATGTATTTGACTAAATGTATTCAAAAATAAACTTTTGGTATTGAAATCGTTGCTATTTGCTTACTTTTTAACAGTTAAATTTGAACTGTAAGGTTGAAAGTTTTACACGTTTATGTAACTATTTTAATACAGCAAATTTTGAATAAAACTTCTGCATTATTTCATTATTTTTTTTATAAATTATTATTTTTTTATAAATTATAATTTTTTTTTTGTAATTCAATTTTTTTTTATAAATTCTTATTTTTTATAATTAAAAATTTGTTTATATAATTTATAATTGCTTTATATTTGTGTACACTTAAAATTGCTTAAAAATATACATATTTTTGAAAACAGCGCATATTTTTGGCGAGTTAATTGGGTTTCTTCTTTTTTTTTTTGTTTTTTTGTAAATACTTGAACTGTTTTTACTGCTCTGCTAGTCACAGTCACTTATACATACAAAGTAAATGCTGATACTAAAGAGTAAGTTAGATAGAATTAACTGTTATGTTTGTGCTATTACAATATCATTATTTTTCCATTAAGCTACGGAGTTCAAAAATTCCAACATTTGAGTATACGGGCTACTATAAAACTGGCGCTCTATTTTTGTTTTTTTGTGTTTATTTAAGAATTATTCGACTTTCGTCACTATGTAACAGTGTCCAACAACTAAGCAAACATATAACTGTACTACAAAATTGTGGTTTTCTACTTGCTATATGCTGAGCATTGAAGTATTTAATTATTAAATTTATTAATTTTCTATACTTTCATTAATTACTTTTAATGAAATTGATTAATTAATTTTTCAATATGTTAATTAAATGTAACTAATTTTTAAATTAATTTCTTTTAATTAAACTTTAATTAATGTTAATTAAATGTAATTAATTTTTTAATTTTATTAAATTAATTAATTCATATTTTTTTAAATATTATTTATTTTTAGAAAATAAAATATTACACAAATTTTTTTTAATAATTTTTAGAAAAAAGTTTTGAACTGTCTTTTATTTACAATTTTCATTTATTAAAATAACCAATTTTTTGTAAACATTGTTCTTACCTCGATTTGGCACATGCACATGTATATAAGATGCATTAATTTGTTTATGCAAAAAATCGTATTACTTGTTTTTAATACATATTTATAAATAAATTCGGTATACTTGTACTTTGGAAGCACAAATGTTTAGAATTTGTATTGACACAGGCAAAAAAACTGTTGATTGGCCACGTGGCGTTGACGCCGCTGCTTTGCATATACACGCTGCACGTACGCATGCGCATCCACACAGCGTTGCTTCAACGCGCCTCACATTATCCAACAAATATTCGTTTAACGATGTGTGTCGTGCACGGGTTTCGGCTTTGGTTTTATACGGGGAGGGGTAGGCAAGGTTCGTCTTCATTCTTTCGTTTCATGCCCATTCGCACCAAGTTCGAGGAGCTCATGGGGTTCAGCGTTCAACTAAAATATTTTTTTTTCATTAAAATAATAAATTTTATTAAAATAATTTAAATTTT